TGTTGATCTCTCCTTTATACACTCAAATCAAGCTCTGGTGTAGATAAAGCCTGTTGATCTCTCCTTTATACACTCAAATCAAGCTCTGGTGTAGATAAAGTCTGTTGATCTCTCCTTTATACACTCTAATCAAGCTCTTGTGTAGATAAAGCCTGTTGATCTCTCCTTTATACACTCAAATCAAGCTCTGGTGTAGATAAAGTGTTGATCTCTCCTGTAACCGACTTCATATCAATCAGGTTATCCCGAAGCCAATGGGGGAGGGGGAAGGGCAGTGGTTGTGAAGTTTCAGTGGAACATTTGGAACTATGGGAGGGAGTTTGAGGTCAGCGAGCTTGACTTTTGCATTCCAAATGAAACATGGGGAGCTTTGTGTCTCTCCTGTCTTCCAGTCATTGTTTCCATGTCTGATATGGGCGTGACGCGCATGGCGCCTGTCATAATACGGAGAGCATGGTTTTGGATCTTCGAAATTTTCTGAAAATGTGATTTAGCTAATGTGCCCCAAGCAGCTAACCCACATTCTAGTGTTGGTCTCATATAACCCGTATAGGTCCTCTTGAGGACACTGAGGTTTTGAAGGGGGGGGGGGTGTTCCGATTTGATGCAGACTGGAACCCCAGACCTTCTGGCCGGCTGGTGATCAGCTAAGCACTACACTACTTCAGGTACTATTCTTTCCAAGGTACTTATCACGAGTCACCCCATCTCGTTCGCGCGCGAAATTTCCTGCCGGTTGCCATTTTTATCGTGCCAGTCCCCACGGGCTGTTCTGTGTTCTAGGGGTGTTATGTAGATTTCTCCCTTCAGTGTCTATATACAGTGCATCGAAACGTGACTGGCGTTCGTTCGACGAGGTCGACACATTATCTTTCATACGCAGTTGCGCAGCTTTCTTTCCACTACTGTCTCTTGTGTGAACGAATATTACTTATGAAACGTGTTGATGGTGTGAGTAAGTCAGGCACCGCATGCGGTTGTGTACAAGAACGAAGTACTGTCGGGAGGGGGGGGGGCGAAGGCATCGTCGACACAAACTCGAATCATTGATGTTTTTGTATTTTACGCTTGTTGGCGGTGGCTGTCGTCGGTGGTGGATGTGCTCAAACCTTCAGAACAAGCAAAACCTGACACCCTTAGAACATAGGACAGCCCATTGGGGAACTGGTATGACATAAATGGGAGCCGGTGCAAAACCTCCCGCTCAAGCAAAGTGGGCTGCCCCTCGTGATAAGAACCCTTTCCAATCCAGGGTGGCGCTTGATGTGACCATCATATTTCAGTTTCCTAGGCTAGATGCTGTTTACTAGCCTGTCTTCTTTCAAGTTCAAATCTTTTAGAATGTCAGTATTTCTTTTCTTCTTTATCCATGGTATTCTGATAATCTTTTCCATGGCATGTCAGCTCAGATGCCCCTATTTTTGTCCTTAATGACGACTAGCTAGTCCACGACCTACATGCATATGTAACTACAAAGAAATGGCATGCTCTCACTAGAGTGAATTTGATTTCCTTGCTGGTGCTCAACCATAGTTCATAAAAAAAGTTTGGTGACGAATAATCATTATACACGTAGTATATAACTTCATGACAATAGCAAGGACCAAAGGGGTGTAAGGAGGAGTCTTTGCTTTCGGCGTCTCTTCAGACCAGACATCTGCTAAAAAAAAAAAGGAAAATCTGAATTTGAATGACACAAAGTGGTGACAATAGATTCAGCGTAGGGAACGAGGCGCGTAGACTGGACTAAATTACCTTGTAATCTGACAAGTCTCTCGCCCCAATATATCCCCCCTGGTCCCCCACACCCTCATACCCAGCACTATACAATAGTGTCAGGCGTACAGGCATACAACAAAGTCTGAATACACCGCGTGGCACGCACGAGCTCTTTGTTGGAAGTTTTCGGGGTGGGGGAGAGGGGGGTGTCCTTTATACACCGATAATTGAGAGTTCATTTTCCAATAAGCAACTTCAGTTTTGTTTGTTGATACAATTTGTTATTACGGTAACCATTTATTTTATGTCAACCGCTTTTTCTTTCTTTTTTTTTTTTAATTTTATTTCTAAAACGATTCTAAGAAAAATCAGTTTAAAAAAAAGGACACTCCAGGGAAGAAAAGAAAAAGAGAAAAAAAAAATAGTTTATGTCAGCTTTACAAAACCAGTTATAATGAATAAATAGTGGTAATTACGGTGATTAGCCTTCATCGGCAATCAATAACAGTAGATTAAAACACAACACACACACACACACACACACTCACACACACACACACGACACACTATAGACGAATTCGTGCAGTTGAAATTTTGTTCGGGTTTGGTCAAGTGTAAGAGCTTTGTTTGTTTGTTTGTTTGTTTTAGTATCCAGAAGCCACGAGTTGTTAACCCTTAGGCTCGGTATTATGGTTATCGCAACCTTTCGGCCTTGATTCCATTGTAAATACCGTAAATCTGTGAGAAAATGTGGCTTTTCTGCCTACCCCCGGGAGTGAAAAAGGAGTTCGTCACCCGGTCACCGCGTAATCCGGTTTATCCAACTACGCTAGAGAGCCGGACGTAAGAGCTTTGAAAAAATATTGTCTTTTTTTTTCAAACAATGTTTCTGTAACATGTAAGCTGCAGATTATTGTGAAATGAGTTATACTTGGGAACAGGGAGGGGTTAGTACCTTTTCTGATTTCTAGGGCTGGACACTTAGCCCCCCCCCCCCCCCCCCCCTCCCAGAAGGCCCCAAAACATTTGCGATCATTCGCAAAGACATCTGTCAAATTTCCTATGTACACATTTTCCCCCCACTGTGATTACACATCGGGGCCTACTAGTTGTGAACTCGTTTACCAGCATCGTTGTCTAGACTTACATCCTGGTACTTGTAAGCTGCAAACAACCCACTTCTTCCTTTTCTATTTTTTCTAGCATCGTGTCTCTGTGCATCCCATCTTTGTCGCAGAAAAAAAAAAAATACGCCGACCTGGTATAGTACAATATTGGCAGGGCAGAATATACCAAATCCCATATTACAAAAATCTAGATCTCGAGAATTTATTTTTAAAAACATTGTGATGATATAGAAAATGATAACTTGTAGTTTGATGATGGATTAAAATAGTTGTCAGATTTAGTGTGTCATGTAAACTTAGTAAGTAGTTCGTAAACAACGGTTCCGATGAAAGCACAACGACCTGTAAGGTTCAATTCGTTGGAAGTTTGCCGCCGTTACCACAATCGCAATCATCACAAGGAGCCGCCCTCCCGCGAAAGGTAAACACACCAATAGGCGCGTTTTGCTCCAATGCTGGTTCAGGGGCCTGGGAAGTTAAAAAGTGCGTGCCTATCACGCGCCAATTTCGAACGCGCCGCCGGAGCAGACGAGAGCTGGCAGAAGTGATAGCCGGAGCTGGACTTGTTGGTTTTTAGGGGGGACATTGACGCTTGGACGGTAAGTTTTGTTTATTCTAGATGGTATATTTTATTCCTAAATATATTCGTTCAGTACGGAATAAAGGTAGGAACTGTTATGCAACGTTGAGCCATGTCAGGATCAAATTTAAGTTTTTGCCGGGAGATTTATGGTCGAAGTTAGGTGCGATATGGCCGCTTGGTTTGTTTCTGTAGCGGTCACGACAAAACAGCGTTTTTATTGAAAATATTTGTGTGCGTTGTTTCTAGCCTTCTTGATTTCAACAAAAAGTGTTCACTATGTTTTAATCCAGGCACAGGTAGACACTTCTGAACGTAGAACATTGGTAAACAATGTAAAAATTGCAGAAACAACAAGGGTCAGTGTCAATCTAGGTCGAAGGACCGTTAGTGGAGGCGTATTTTTAACGGTTAGTCATCGCTAGATAGTTGTATTATACAGACATTAACTGGCTCAGCGGGGACAGTAAAGATAACAGAAGTGTATATCAGAGGATTCCCCACAGAGAACAAAATAATTTGAAAGCTAAACTAGACATTTTAGAATTTTACCAGCTGTCGTTCGATAATTCACGAATTCTCCATTTTCCTTTTGTAGAGTGACTGTTGGTTGTTATTGGGCATGTAACCGTCATTTTGTTTAACGTATTTATAATTGATCAGTGATAAAGTCGATAAAACGCTGCCGGTTGAAATACACTCCGGTATCCGCGCCAAAATCAAACCTGTGCTCACCAGGAACCACAGGGTTAAAGTGGCCTATATTAAAAGCTACCATCACTGTTTACAGTCTCCCGCGCTTGTCGCAAGGACGTCTTAATGTGAATTTCAACCTTTGTAAAATATTATGATTTTAGCCTGTCAGATAGTTACATTTTATATTAGATCACACTGCAAACACTAAGAGAAACACCTGTTCATTTTCCTCCACTTTTAAAGTGGTTCTAGCCAATGCTTTTTTTTGGCGTGGACAATGTTACAATAGTACAAGCAAAGCGTTAGCAATTGAAGGCAATCTAATATCGATGCCATACCTTGCAAGCAATATATTAAAATGCAGAAGTACTCTGGGGAAAATACAGAACACACATACACTTAGAGCTTTATCATTGAATCTTGTGCCTACATGGAATATCTGCAGAAAATTATTTAAAATCAGATCCTTGTTGAAAAACCAAACAGATTTTAGGATTTTTGATTTCCTAAAGAAATGACTTGCCTGGTGTTGGCAGGATCTCTATTATAAGGCAGCAAATAATAGAACACTAACCTGTCATAGATGTCACAGAGTTGACATGGGATATATCTCACTGTGTAGACAATAGTACTGACACAGTTTAACTAAATGGCTTGGTGCCCGCTGTCTGGCTGAGGGCTTACGCTGTGTTTGGAAATAAAAGACAGACAAAAATTCTATGCATGCAAAAACACAAAAGAAGATTGAGATTTTGTGTATAGTCCCTGTATTCTAGTTCAGCGGGAAGATTTCAGCAATGTATAGAGAGCAGTCATACAAATAATTCATTAATTCTAACGCATGTCTGTGTTCATTAGCATTTCCTTTGTTTTCAGAAATGGCTGAGGAGGCTGCCTTCAATGTGTGCAGCACTTTCTCCAACCCGAAACCCACCTTTGGAAATTATGAAAGAAGGCAGAAATGTCAAGTGCTAAGACGATGCAAGTCAGATAAGCCATATGTTGGCAGAGATAATAGTGGCTTGTGTGTGAAGAAACAAGCAACACGTGTACGTTTGAAGCAGGCAGAGAAAGAGAACATGGATCCTGAAGCAGAGTTACCCTTAACTAGGTCAGATGTTCTACGCTGTGATTCTAGTGAACATCGGAGACCACTGGAAAACTCTGATGTGAACAGTCACAGTTTAGACAATCAAAGCTTTGAAAATGAAGACAGTTGTGATTCTGGTGAAGACGATTTTATTTTTGATACCAACAACAATCAAGGAATATGTACAAGCAACACTAAACGGCTTTCAGAAGCAGAGGGAGGTGCAACAACACCACCACCAAGTCCCACGTGGAACCTCCGGATCTTATGCAATGCTGTCAGTCCAGAGATACGCCGAATGCAGCTGCAGCGAGAGAATGCTGGTGATGAAGAAAGATCTTCCTCAGCATCTGTAGCTTCCTCAAGTACCACAGCAACCAATCATCCGATGGTGAGCCCTTCAGAGGAGAACAGTTGCGACTACACAGAGTTTATTTCATCTCAAGACAGTGCTCTGGGCTTGGAGTTTGAGGTTATCACATCTCGCAAGGATAAATCACTGGGTAGATTGTGTGACAAGTAAGTAATCACTGGCTCCATTGATTGATTGTGTTAGTGGTTTTCAGGCTAGTAATACACACATTTTTCTGCAAAATCTGTGCATGAGATTCTATTTATGTATTGTCATGAAGGTTTTATTTGTTGATGAATGTATCTGTTTTCTCTTTACTTGCATTCCTATGTAGTTGTCAGTGCATCTGTGTGTCTTTTTCCAGCTATAGTTTACAATAGATACACTTACTTACTTAGTCACTCCTCTTCTACCTTGGGGTGTAGAGGTTTGCCAGAGAGATCGCCAGACATCTATCAGCAGTTTTCATTCTGGCTTTGTTCCATTCCGGTCCTATGTCAGTTAGAGACTGTCGAATGTCTTCCCAGCGGGTCCTGGTTCTTAGCCTCCCATGACTGCCATGATGGCCGACAATCGACACATAATTTTCCAAAAATATTTTCTTCACAATTTTTAATATAAATAGGAAAGTTACTGATGTAATGAGAGATTAACAGGTGGTTAGATGTTTTACAGCTAGGCTGCGATATCTGTACCTTCAGCTCGACATCTTCAATCTCAGCAAAGCCATACTTAGTCACATGTTACGGTATGCTTGTCTCTTCCTCCACCAAATGGGGTCAAGAACCCAAACAGGTCAAGGCTGTATTGACTCACTCATAAAATGGTTGAAGGTTAGTTGCGTATCCTTTACAGCATGTTGCAGAACCAACCCCAACAGTCCCTGGCTGTTGTGTGGTTTTTCTAGGCAAATTTACATCCAGTAGTTTGCCATTGCTTTCTGGATGGTCAGCTTTCTTGATATCACTGTCGGAAACCAACGTAAGGCGCATGGCCCGCATCTGGGATCAAACCCGGCATCCCGGATATATATATATATATCTGATCTACGCATGAACAAAACAGGTTATATCGTCACCTGTGATGGACGAACAACAGAAATATCTGATTTACATCATCATCATCATCATTACTGTGACTTTGTTAACTCCACTGTGACTGATGTAACTTTGTGCGCAAATCTGGTTAATAGTTGGGGTCCTTTTCTTGCTGTTTACCCTGTCTCGGGGACAGAGATTTTGTTGGGAGTTCCAGGGAAAGTTCCAATAGTAAAGGGGTGTTAGGGTGTGAAATGAACACTGACTAACTATAACAAACATTCCCCTTTTCCCCAAGAAACCTATTGGACTTTCTAGGGAACTCCCCTCAAATGAACACTGACTAACTATAACAAACATTCCCCTTTCCCCAAGAAACCTATTGGACTTTCTAGGGAACTCCCCTCAAATGAACACTGACTAACTATAACAAACATTCCCCTTTCCCCAAGAAACCTATTGGACTTTCTAGGGAACTCCCCTCAAATGAACACTGACTAACTATAACAAACATTCCCCTTTCCCCAAGAAACCTATTGGACTTTCTAGGTAACTCCCCTCAAATGACATAATTTGTAATTGCACTCGTATTTTACTTTGGCATAATTGGCTAGATATTTATTTATGTGCTTGGTAATTTTACTTCCAGATTTTTGTTGCGTTACCCAGACCATCCAGGGAATGACAGAATTAACATTTGTCTGGATGAAGTTGCAAAGGATTTGGGTGAGACTTATTGAATCTCTTAACTAACTTAACCTATGCACTTTATCTTGTATATGCCACTAAAACAGTTGTTTGTGCAGTCTGAAGAAAACAGATATTTTAAACCTGGTCCTGTGCATAGTTGACATGGTTTCCCAGTAGTGGTAACTGATTTGTCATCTGGTGAAACTTATTTCAGCTGGTGCATGCTTACAGAATCTGTTATGTCTGTTTCATTGTGCAGCAAAAAACATAAAGAAAGGTACTAATCTTTTGGGGGGGGGGGGTGTACAACTAGGATGTTGGTCCAATGTTACATAGTCATAATATAATCTAGTTTCTCTGTAATTATGTGATGCAGGGAAGCGAGACAAACACACCATGGCTGGGATATTTTTGCGACAAATCTGTTGCACATTTGCGTGCAAACTTGGTTAATAGTTGGATTTCTTTTCTTTTTGTTTACCCCATCTCGGGGACTGAGAGAAAAGCCTGACCTTAATTTCCTTGTTTGGTCACAATTGAAACAGCAGCTGGGTGCAATAGAAGTGCTGCCACCTGCAGGCATCCATAGCACACATCCAACTGGTTTCAGCAACTGGACAATACTTGTGGTTTCCTTGATTATTCTGTGTAGCTTTCTGGCTGCTTTACCTGTGGATGAATTGCTGCCTGGATTCTCACAATCATGTGGCCAGTGCCAGGCAGAGCATGGCTGTGATCACAGACTTGTATCAAGTCAAACTAAAGGATACTTCCCCCATGTCCTTCAGCTAATGGATATATTGAATTCAGTAGGTGGTGTTGTCAACATCATCCCCCCTAACAGGCAAGCAGACTAATTCAGGAGGTTTCCTTTGAAGTCAAGAGTGTGTCTGCTTGACAGGCAAGGATCAAATAGTCTGCATAAAAGTAAGCCAGATCTGTAAAACTGAGTTTGAAGGTGAAGAAGAATAATGCAGATCAGAACTTTTGGACACAGGCAAAGTCTAGCCGTATGGTATATGACTTCCTTACAGCTGTCTTGACTGTATTCTTCATCAGTTTCATTGCTTTGTGTATTTTCGTTAAAAAAAAAAAAATCATGTATCCACTGTAATAATAGTTGACTCCTGCTTTAATTCTCAGAAATCCTGGCTTCCTTTACTGTTGTCTCAACAGAGTGTACAACTTCTGAAATATGATACTCCTTATGTTCAAGCTGTCTTTTATGTTTGCATAATATAAATCAACAGTATGTTTTGTTGATCTATGTAATTTTGAGTTTTTGTGTATCAGATTAAAAGAGCTGTATGTTTTTTGTTTTTTTTAAGTCATGGTTGGTCGCTTGACAGTAACTGGAATCTGAATTAACATTATGTAGAGGCTACTTAATGACATGGTTAAAAAGAAAAAATGAAAATGCTATTTTCTGGCCCTAAGGTGTGGAGCGACGGAGAATATATGACATTGTAAATGTGCTAGAAAGTGTGGAGATTGTCAGCAGGGCTGCCAAGAACAAGTACTCCTGGCATGGTAAAACAAACTTACCTCACACACTGCTGAAACTAAAGGTAATTCTAATGCTTGTTCTTGTTTTTCTTTCTGTCTTTGCTGTCTGTGAGTGATAATGCTGTCATCTGCCAGGCTGTTATCAAAAAAGACTACTAACTGAGACTTGGTGTGATACCGGCATCTGCCTAAGAGGCCAGGAACCAACAGTCTTCACAAATAAGCCAAATCTAAAAATGGAAGTGTACTTAAAACTCAGGGTCTGAAACAGTACCAAAGTCCAGAAGTGGACAAACAGCCATACTTTTCTGTTGGAGTTGACAGCTGATGAACGTTTAGAAAAAGGAAAGAGATACTACTTTATCCTGTAAGTTTGGACAAAGTGAAACAAATCACGCACAAGTTTTTAAATGGCCTAATGTGAGGTGGTTGAGGGCCTATGGGTCCATTGGGAGATCAAAGACCAAGCTGTGTAATAAACCTAAAACAGTCTGTTGTGATGCCATATAAATATATAATATTGATGTATATCTGACACCATAATAGTTTGCTGGTTGTGTTGGATAACATCTGTGAGATTCAAATACAGTGAATGTCATTTGGAAGCCTCCAGTAGTGCAGTAACTGGTGTTGACATGCTTAAAGTGACTTGTAAAACAAAGAGCCTGGACTCCTAACCAGCTTCAGATGGATTCTAGAGAACTCGAGACCCTTGTCATATTGACCACATCACCTCATCCAGTAGCACCTTGTTGAGAGATATGTTGCCACAGTTACATAGCAAACACCTAACACAGTCGGGTACAGGGTGCTTGGTGTCAATATACATTTGATGGCCTGTTGCTCTTTACATTCCATCTTTCTTCAACGGATTTCTGATTACATTTACCACACTGACATGTTGCAAGCAGTCTGAACAGTTTGTGTTAAGATGATTGTTGGTAATAATTTATTGTTCAACATGCAATTTTTGTTCCATGTCTTGGTCTACTCCATCTGACATTATCATTTTAGCCTCGTAGTTGCAGTTCTAGATCTGTCTTAACACAACCAGAATCAAACAACTCACACCTCTTCATGGATTTTCACTGACAAGAGGTACTTCCCCCATCACTTACCATACTAACCCACTCTGGCCAGTCGTTATCTTAACCTATGCTGTTTCAGTTATTTTGTTACTCTTAGGCCAATCTATTGAAATAACAGTTGCTGAAAGTTGACCTGCATTTATTATACACCCAAGGCTGCTGTTTCTGTATGACTCCTCTTGCTGTGTTATTGTTGAGAGGCTTATATTTATGTTTTTTTATGATGAGTGTATCCATTGTTGCCGTTTTCTTTGTTTGCTCTCCCAGTTTAGTCATCAGCAAACTGGGAATTATGCTCGTCGTCTGGAATCTCTGGTCTACTGTCTGTCTACCTGACAAGGAATTGTTTTTCATTTTAGTTGAGCATGTAGTGTGTAGTTTCTTGCTTGACATGACTGCTACAGCCGATGATGACTTTCTTAACAGATTTTAGCTGTGAAAGAAAACATGTTTGAACAGATCATGAGGATCAAGGAACAAGAAATGGCCAAGGATTTGAATGAGTCTGGAGTAGACATTGAGACCTCTGTATGGGATTTGAGACCAGAGAATGACAGCAAGCTGGAAGATAGTACTCACTCAGGTAAACATTGCAAGTTGATGGTTACAACAGCTTTTAAGGTTGATTAAGACTACACTGAATGTTTTTTTACTGTGCCAAGAATGGTGTTTTTGATTTGCTTGTGAAAAATAAATTAACATTTCACATTCAAATTCAGTTTGGTTGTTAAGTTGTCAGTTGACAATAAAATATTTACAATCTGTGGAGAGAACATATCCAATCTAGGTTTAATCTTAGCCGGTCTGTGTGTGCAAATGTGGAGCCGAATCTAGGTTTTGTACGCACCACTGGTTTCTGAACTATAAATGGAGAAAGGAGACCCAACATATGATACACAGTGGGGGAGGGGGGGTGTGTGTGAGACACTCCTTCCCCCACAGCAAGCATGTTGTAAAAGGCTACCAGTTCGACCAACATGAATATGTTGGGGCTGAAAAGTGAAGAAATTGCAGCCTAGCTGTAAACCAGAACAAAAATCGCAGTTGCATATTTGAACCCATGACCTTTGAGCCCACAGTGAGTGTCTAGCCACTACATCATGGCAGCTCCACTAACACCTTGTCTACTTATATCTAGCCACTACATCATGGCAGCTCCACTAACACCTTGTCTACTTATATCTAGCCACTAGATCATGGCAGCTCCACTAACACCTCGTCTACTTATATCTAGCCACTACATCATGGCAGCTCCACTAACACCTTGTCTACTTATATCTAGCCACTACATCATGGCAGCTCCACTAACACCTCGTCTACTTATATCTAGCCACTACATCATGGCAGCTCCACTAACACCTCGTCTACTTATATCTAGCCACTAGATCATGGCAGCTCCACTAACACCTCGTCTACTTATATCTAGCCACTACATCATGGCAGCTCCACTAACACCTCGTCTACTTATATCTAGCCACTACATCATGGCAGCTCCACTAACACCTCGTCTACTTATACTAATATCTAGCCACTACATCATGGCAGCTCCTAACACCTCGTCTACTTATATCTAGCCACTACATCATGGCAGCTCCACTAACACCTCGTCTACTTATATCTAGCCACTACATCATGGCAGCTCCACTAACACCTCGTCTACTTATATCTAGCCACTACATCATGGCAGCTCCACTAACACCTTGTCTACTTATATCTAGCCACTACATCATGGCAGCTCCACTAACACCTCGTCTACTTATATCTAGCCACTAGATCATGGCAGCTCCACTAACACCTTGTCTACTTATATCTAGTCACTACATCATGGCAGCTCCACTAACACCTTGTCTACTTATATCTAGTCACTACATCATGGCAGGTCCACTAACACCTCGTCTACTTATATCTAGCCACTACATCATGGCATCTCCACTAACACCTTGTCTACTTATATCTAGCCTTGGCTGTTTTTATTCGACATGTTATCCTTTAAGCTTTAAATATAACCTGTTATTTCATCTATTTCAAACTAGATTTTTTTTTTTTACATCTGTTTGACGGTGCATAATTGTGTTGTTCCCTATAGATTGATGCATTCACATAGCCTGTCACTACCATGACACATTGACAACAAGTTAATTATACTTCATGTTGACAGTTTTTCAGAGAAAGGAAAGATCCCTAGGAATAATGAGCCAGAAATTCCTCATGCTGTTTCTGGTATCAAAGGTATGCCAAAACATTCACTTGGTGTTTCATTGTCTCGTGTAGATGTGATGCATTTTATAGTCGAAAATGGGAGTGATTGTTATCAAAGATGAAGACAAGACATTGAACATGCCTTGACTTTGCAAACAAACCTCTGTTATGCCCGAGCTAAAGATGGACAACGGGGTGGTGTTACAATCGGATAAAGACAAGGGCGAGGCTATCCTGCACAGATTTCTTCTGCAGACGGAAAAGAAAGATAGGGAAGAGAGGGAACAGATAAGACAGAGTTTATATGATATCCAGATGGCTGAAATGGAGGAAGTCGATGATACAGTATACATCTCAACGGACTGCATCAGAGCAACAGTGAAGACCTGTCCGGACACAGCTCCAGGGCCTGATGGCATTAGATACAGCCACTTCAAAAGCCTCGAGGCGACAGATATTGATGAACTGTCCACGATTTTTAACAACACCATGAAAACTGGCACTATTCCTGATGACTGGCTCCACAGCTACCTCAGACCGGTTCCTAAGCCAGGAAAAGACCACACGAGAATAAATGGCTACAGAATCATCACACTCCAGAACACTGTAGGAAAACTCATGGAAAAAATCGTTGCCAGAACGTTAACCCAAATATTGGAGTCGGGTGGCCATTTCCCCGCTACACTAGGTGGCTACCGACCAGGAAGAGATACATGGTGCAATGCTGCAGTATTTGCCTACGACACATACGAAGGTTTCCAGGAGGGAATAGAAACGGCTGCAGCCGCTATTGACTTAGAAGATGCGTACAACAGCGTCCCATACAACATGCTCATCAGACTGCTGTTGGATATGCAGATAGAAACAAATTTGGTCAACTGGATCGCAGCAGCGCTATTTGAAAGAACAGTGTCGCTTCGATGTGGTGAATGGGCATCCGAACCTCAACGCGTCCTAATGGGTCTGCCCCAGGGATCACCATTGTCGCCTGTGCTCTTCAATGTGTACACAGCAGGAGTCACTAGTGCACAACGCGTAGGCCTAGGCAGAACAATGTCGTATGCAGATGATATCCTTGTGTACCGTCGAGGTAAAAACAGGCAGGAAATTACAACCACACTACAACACGAACTAGACAGACTTAGTGAGTGGTGCCAGGAATCAAGAGCTCATGTGAACCCGTCCAAAGCCTCCTTAACATGGTTCTCTCTGAATACCCACATCGTGAGTACACCAACGCCAGTCGTAAGCATCTGTGGTGTGGACATCGAGAGAACGGACACCATGAAATACCTGGGCATGACATTTGACAGATGCTTGTCATACAAATGCCACGTAGACAACGTCATACTTAGAGCCAGGAAAGGTTTGACAGCACTCAAGGTGCTAGCAGCAGCTGATATTGAACAACGTCTACTTTTTCCTTCTCTATCAAGGGCTTGTGCTTAGCGTCATTGACTATGGTCTCGGCCTCCTCACTGTCAGCAAAACCCAGCTAGAAAGACTGGACCGAGTACAGAATGAGGCCATGAGACTCATACTCGGCTGCACAAAAGACACCTCCTGCAACGCCATGCGTTATATCCTGGGTCTGCCGACTATGACAAGCAGATACAAAGTGGCACAGGTCAAGGCTTACATGAGGGTATCGGCAGATGTTAACCACCCATTACACAAAGCTATTCACGACACAAAAGGAACGCGTCTCAAAAGGGGCCGCTCTTGGATGGCAAAGGCTGAGGACTTAATCCAGCAGGTATGTGACCTAGACGTGATCAGCCACGGAAAAGAATGGACGAATACACCAGTAGACATGCATGGCATTTCTAAGGTTGTCATCACACTCGGAAGGTACTGCAGGGATCAAATTCCCGCGGCGGTAGACACAGAAGTAAGGGAACTGATAGATCAGCATTCAGACCCAGAAGATACCATCATCTACACAGATGGATCTGTGAAGCGCGGATCAAGGTCAGCATGGGCATACACAGCGCAAAGAAAGGGGAAAACAATACATGAGGACAGCGGCGCTTACCAGACAACCACGTCAAGCATGACAATGGAAATAGCCGCTGCTTCTAGAGCTTTAGCATGGGTATCCGAGCAAACCGCCACACAGGTAGTAATTGTCTCAGACTCAATGAATATGCTTCAGAAGATAGCAACAGGCAGTATGCGCTCTGAATGGATAGAAAGCATCAGGAAATCGCACTTAACCTCCGTAACCTGGATCTACACACCGGGTCATGCAGGCGTGAAGGGAAATGAGCGAGCAGACCAACTGGCAAGCACTGCACTAATGATTGCAGGAAAAAGTATGGACAGAGCAGACATAGTCAACGCTGTACGAACCGGGCTAGTGGAGAATGAGGAATCCCTGACACTAACACGATTGCGTGACATGGGAGTTAAGCATGGTGATGCACGTCTTTGCCGTCTTCGAGGCCGAGAAAGGAGACAATATAACCAGCTTCTCATGGGGGCAATTAGTAGAAGTACTTTAGAGTGGCTGCTGCTTCGGAGAACTGAGCACGCATGGGTATGCCCAATGTGCAGTGACATTAATTGTGATAACAGAACATAAAATAACATCTTAGTAGGGAGTCGGCAGTACGAAACCCAAGTTCAAGGTGTCTCCTTCGTGCCAAAGAACTGCATGGCTGTTGGGTGAACAGTCGTTAACGAGGGCAGGCAGGTCGTTGTAGGGGCGACGCCTGCTGGTGGATGTAATGTCCTAAGTCCCTTCCCCAGCTAATAATGAGGGTACTGCTGGGGTGACCGTTTATTAACCCTCATATAATTCTTCCGGTCAAAATGGACGCTAGGTACGGCCACCTGTTTTTTTTTTTTTTTTTTTTTTTTTTAAAGCCGTGGCAAATATTTTTCCAGACGGTGGCCGTTGCATTTTTGCTCCATTTGTAGACTGGAAGGATGTAGTTTCGTCGCCCAGCTTCTGAGTTGAGTGCATGGCGTGACACTGTGAGCTGCGTTTGTTTTTCGTTGGCACAGGAGCGGAGCATGTGTGGGGTGACCCGTTTGCTATGAAGCTGAAACTAGGATTACCAGATTGACTTTGCAAGCACAAAGGACTGCAGAACTGGTTACAGAAAAAGAGACTTTCTGGCGCGGTTGCTGTTAAGTTAAAATGAACTAACACAAGAGCTGGGTGAAAGGAAAGACACATTAGTAATTGTTTTAACTCTTTGAAAATAGGCAGCCTGTGGGGATATGGGTGTCAAGTATATATTTTTTGTATTCGTGTTATGATTGCTTCAGTTTTGCCTCTCTTTGTGTTGGTTCATGAGCTCCAGGTTTTGTTGAAATAAAATACATTCGGCCCAGGTATAGACACGACAGCCTCAAAGCACCACATGCTAACCATTTTTTTTTAAAGGCAGACGGCAAAGAAATATTTGTGCCTTTACATCTGTCAGACTGTCTCGTCCGATTATAAGAGCATCTGTAGTAGTGAGAAGTAAATCTATTTAATGGCCTGATAATTTTCTTCATTTATGTATATAATAGTTGTGCTTTTGATTTCCACAGCCCAAGACAGTGAATCTGGAGCTGTCCGCAAAAATGTTGATTGGTGATGATGCTCTTGAGGCCTCCAAGTTCAAAAGTGAGTTCACTTGTCTGTTGGTAGGGTTGTACAACTCTGTGCTTGTTTCAAATGTGCTACTATCTTTCGTACAAACAGAAAGGTGGCATCTATCCTAGGCAGTATTTCAGCCTACTTAGCATAAAGGTCAGCATTACTGAATAGGATACTATTTCTAAAGTAGTGAAGATTTAGATGTTTTAAACTGATGAGCTATGCCAAGAGGTCACACTGTTTGCCAGGCACTCTGTAGGTCATGGAATAGTTTCATGGATGTGTCGTCGCATTCATGAGTGCAATTTTTGTGGATTTTGCTGGGCATCATTGCTGAAGTTACGGAATTCCTGCTCTGTGCAGCCATCTTGGCAAGCAGTTAGCCGTTCTTGGGAGAGAGACTAGGCTGCAGGACAATGGAGTCGGTCGGTCCTTAACTGTAACTTAATAGGAGCCACATCATATCTTCCTGCATATTATTATATTCCTAATTTATATGGAAAATTTAGCAGTGGGATCATTTAGATTATTCTCACTTTGTATGTGACTGTCGCTAGATTATACTATATGTTCCCGCTTTGTCAGTATTTGCACTATGTATGGTCATGTTATTTGTCTATTACCATATTCACAGGCAGTACAATATCTGTAACACATTCATTATTATAGCTGCAGTTCTTAGAGCAGTAATTTCCAAACTGCGCTCCAAAGAGCCACGACTTCTTCACAGGGGAGCGGGGACATCTTAGAAGACACGATTTTTATCTATATTTTTTTTTATCCTTTACATACGAATAGTCATACTTTTACTGAGGACATTTTAATTGAAGAAAGGCGCCACGGCTATGACAAGTTTGGGAAACACTGTCTTACTGGAGTGCTTACTGGAGATGGTACTATAGTCCAGGACCAGGAGAAAAACCTGTGAACCAATCTTACTCTGATAGGTGCAGACATTGATTAGATAACCTTCAGTGTCAGTTCACTGGACTATAAAATAATTTAAAAAATAATTAAGATCTCTTTTCATGCCTTTGGGCACATCGGTCATATAGGAAAGCACCCAAATTTTTACAGACCAGATCGCAAAGGTGTTTAATGTGGTCAGCATTACGCCGGCCATCTTTACTTCACGAGGACATACATCCTGATTCCCATTTTAACTGAGTCGATCTGCGATGCCCCATACCATGATAAAAATCCACGCAGCCAGCAGTGGGTTTCGATGTCTAAAAATAAAACGGCTGTTGTTGCTAAAACAAACAAATAATTTGAAACGTGTCATTTCTTATGGTGCGTCACTTATTAGTGTTGGATGTGAGCCAACTACAGCAATTTTCTTTTTCATTGTCAGATGTCTGGGCGAGTATCAGCTCTGTTTGGGGTTTCAGAACAGTTAATAAAATACTCTCTGATATTAGCAGCACCTCATAGTCAGTGTTTTTTGATCATTAATCCTGACTATCTGTCCCCAGCTAAAATACGACGCCTGTATGACATTGCCAATATCTTGACCAGCCTGCGGTTGATTAAAAAGATTCACGTGACAGAGATCAGAGGCAGAAAACCTGCCTTCCAATATACTGGACCTGATGTGGATAATGTTCATGACGTCGACTGTAAGTTGATTGTTCATTACATTTTATTTGTGAGAAACCCACATGTGTGATCCTTCTAGCTGTGTTCAGTTTGACAGTATTGTTGCTAAAGTGGTGTGTAGGTAGATAGTACAGTGTACTGCCAATTCAACTGTCTGTCTCTGGGAAGTAGATAGTTGTCGTGCTGCTGCTGCTTTGTTAGAAGGTGAAGATACCTGAGATGGGCTGAGGTAGTTAGTACACATGCTAACATTTTCTACAGAACTGGGGAATACTTGAAGACAAGCTTGAGGCAGCTGCCTATCAGGAGGTCAATACATAGAAATAGAATCAACAAACTGCAGTTGATCACTGAACTTATGAAAATATTATACAATAAATCATGGTCATGGAGAGTGGACACTACGCTAAACCATTATTAACAAGGACTGAATTACTGGAAGCCTATTAGTAACCAAGCAAACAATCCACTGAAGCCTCAGAGATGGGATTTTATCAGTGAAAGTTCCTTGCTCAATGAAAACGAGTACCAATGTTTTAAAGGAAGCTAAGACAGATGGACACCTTATACAGAAAGAAGTAATTTTTGTTTGTGGAACATATGAGAAAGGAAGAATTAGAACATGTCCTGACGGCTGCAAAGTGAAACAGACAAAGATAAGGAAAGACAATTTTTGACAGCCTTTTTGGCACACGAGAAGTTATTCTTAAACACAGTTCATTTTGTTGAAGAAAGTCAAGTTTTAAGAAGGCAGTTGTTTCAGTGTGTAACTGACTAATATTTCTCACCTACAGCTTGTTGCAATGATGGATGTCATCGTCCCAGCTCAAGACACTCACTTCTGGACTGTGTCCGCAATGAGAATGGTAGGCATGAATGTCCTTTTATTGTCTTCTCACTGATATTGACAGTTGTTGTTAATATAATTATGTGCAGTAACGTTACAGTAACACAGAAAGCCTTCAGTAGATAGAGATGTACAAGAAACATACAGGGAAACCCAAAATATGCAGGCAAACATGAATAATTAATAGGCTTATTGTGACCTCAGAATCTGCTTTTGTTCTGTGCTACCAGTTGCGGTTGTTAGTTTTATTGGCAGGCTAAAACATGACACTGTTTAACCCTGCTGAAAACAGCTAGTTATAATTTTGTTTTTTGTTTGTTTGTTTGTTTTGTTCAGTGTTCAAAATTGTTTGTTTTGCTAAGAACCCCTTTTCATGCCATAGAGTAGCATACTGGGTATGTGGTGCTAGCCTGGGTTTAGGCTAGTTGTCATGTGCTGGATGTTGTAGTCAATGTTATACACTAGCTATTTTTACACCCCATGACTTCTCTGGTACCTGTTTTAAGCTAGGTTGACCTAGACTGGTGAAAACATTTCCCCCGACTACATTAACAACAAATAATTGATGGCTGCTGGCAGTTGTATAAAGACAATGTATGAGGACAGTTCTGGTTGGTTGTGAAACACTGGAAGGAAAGTTTTGTCTAGCCCACATTGATGTTGGGCTCTTGTGGGCCTTTGTTAAAGCTCACAGTCCAGCAGAGTTAAAGACTTAAGTACTGTCATTTCACATCTATCAAGAGCCATAGTCTGATGTCATGCTTCAGCACTGCATATACTGGCTGGCTGCAGTTAGACCTAGATTGTTGGTACCTCTCCATGTGATAGTGTTAAATTATGCTATAGGAAGACATGGCAATCATGGCCCATTGTTTATTCCATAGCAAGGCTAACACTTTCTTTAGGAACAAAGCCTGCTCATCATTGCTAGATTGATCATTTCTCTACAGTAAAACCTCATTAACACACATTTCACACAATGCAAAATCAAGAGTTTTTTTTTAATTTAGAAAATTGTTCTTACTGCGGACTGATACATGTCTTTTTCACATTCACCGGTTGTAAACTCAGGTAGAAAGTTCTAACTGTTATCCATTTCTGGACTCTAATCCTGTCTCAGAACTTGAGTTTTGCCTAAACGTCCTTTTTACAGATCCGGCTTATTCGTTTGCAGACTGTCTGGAAGATGCCGTTTGAAGGAAACCCCTAATTAGTCAACTCTTATAACCTGCTTCTTAGAGGGGCAGTGGATCTGTTTCTTCTTCTTCCCCCCACAGTGAGGCCCCAGAACCCACACAGGAGCTGAAACATGCAATAATACATCCCTGCTGGCACCGAAATATTCATGTTAACTCAGTGTTCGTCTCAAGTGAGTTTGTGTAAACCAAGGCTTTACTACATTTCTTTGTCAGTGGTATTCAAGACAACTCCAGTAGGGATAACAGTTCAACATAAAATGTGTCTGCTAGAACTCTAAATATAGAGAAGAAAACTATAGGTGCACAGAAAAAGACCAGTTGTAAACAAATTGTCACCAAATTTATTGACATTTTGTGAATAATGTTTTCTTGTGAAAGAATTAGTTTAGTTTACAATAACTGCAATATTAATATGATAGGTAATGTTTTTCTGCCTTTGTGTAATTTTCAGTTCAGAGCATCATGCATGGTTTCCGTCCAATACGGCCAGCTGGATCAGTATTACCAGGTAATTGATACCTTTAGCTTAGTAATTCTTTGTTTTCAGCTCATTATAAATGGCATCTTTGGGTCCCAGAAATTCTCACCAAGATATGTTTTCTCTTACTTGGAGCTGTAAGAGACAACTCAAGAGAGTGGAGGGGATTACCTGAAACAGAGGCTGCAAAGACCAGTCGATGAGGAACCATCATAGCAGGCTTCCTCCTAGAAGTATGATGTGACCTGGAGGAAATCACAAGGACTCTAGATTAACTGACTTCCTCTTACCTTGCAACAGGTGTGCCTCTCATGTTTGAAGAGACAGGGAAGACACTTCTAAAACGGGATTCAGTGTGTTTTATTATAATCATGGAGAAGACTCTAGGCAGCAGTTGCAAGTGGAACCTCAGAATATGAGTTGACTCCGTGCCATGACTGAGCTCACAATAACTCCCCAAAACTGTTTTCCCTAATTATAATATATGTATTTAGGCTTCATTCCAGGCTGTAACATTTGAGATAGGGTGGCCAGTTCTTGTCTTCATGGCCGTTATCTCCCACATACTTCACTTGAAATTTCAGAAACTATGGCTACCCCTTTTAATCAGACATGATTGTTGAGGGAAAGTGCTGACATATCTAAGTGTTAAACTCGCACTATTATCTCCACAGGCAAGTGTGCTGACAGAGGGGGAAAGTGTTGACACATATCTAAGTGTTAAACTCGCACTATTATCTCCACAACCAAGTGTGGTGACAGAGAGGGAAAGTGCTGACATATCTAAGTGTTAAACTCGCACCATTATCTCCACAAGCAAGTGTGCTGACAGAGAGGGAAAGTGCTGACATATCTAAGTGTTAAACTCGCACTATTATCTCCACAAGCAAGTGTGCTGACAGAGAGGGAAAGAAAAAAAGGGGAAAGAGATGATGCTAGTCTTAGACAGAAAATTAATATACTTGATGCGAGATCTTAACACTAGGTCTGAAAATAATAAAAAGAAAAACAAATATAATGAGGATAAATCAGGCAAATTCTAATGTGGTTTCTCTTAATTGTCACACTCCAAGACGTAGGGTTATACACTTAGATAAAGATAGGGGAACTGGTAGAGATATTAAAATAAAAGGCAAGAGGAGCTGTCATAAAACTAAGGAATTTGTTAAGGTCACAAAAATTCAAATAAATATTAAACTTAACATTTTTAATTCTGATGTCAAATCAGTACTGTTGTATTGAACGGAAACATGGAGAACAACTAAGACAGTTACTAATGAACTACAAATCTTTATTAACTGGTGCCTGCGCTAAATAGAGGGAATTAAATGGTATGATAGAATCACTAATGTAGAGGTTTGCGAGAGAACTAAGCAAGTTCCAGTGGACCAGGAGGTGAAAAAAAGATGCTGGTGTTGGATAGGACACAGATTGAGAAAACTGGAGAACAATATAACTAGCATGTTTTTGCACTGGAACCCACAGTGACACAGGAATAAGGGAATACCAAAACTCACATGCAGAAGGGAGCTAGAGGGAAGTTTAAAAAAAGATGGGGTAGCTGCATGCTATAGCAAAGGATAGAACGACTAGGCATGAGTTTGTTGAGGACCTATGCTCCATTGAGGGCTAGAAAGGCAGAAGAAGAAAATGGATGTAAAAAGCTTTAATTTGTTCCAGCCCTCCATAAATATAGAACAAATGACATTTTGCATTTGTCTTAGGGAGAAAAGGTGTGGCTGGCTTTTTTTGATTTTGTCGGCAGCCAAAAATGGGGTTACTTGCAACCATGATGCTAGTCCATCATTATTGAGTACTCTATCGTCTGGTTGAAGTCCTTCTTCGGCAATGGTAACTTGACCTCATCCGTTTTAAATATGCTGCTTAAATCAAACTTCCTGAACAATATACAGAAACTAGAAAAATAAATTATGGGCATGTAAAAAGACAGTATTTACATGGCCTAGAATGGGAGGCAGATGTTATAGGAGAGAGAAAAATGTTAGGGACTTTTACAGAACGAGAAGAAAAACATAACCAAGCATATGGACTGTTCAGAAATAGTTTGGGTCCGTTGAGGCAATATACAATCTGGATTAAAAAAAAAAATTTGTTGTCTGATCAGTGCAGGATTTGCAGTTAGCCAAGTAACAACACCAAAAGCAGCTAAGACAGCATAGAATCCAAATGTACATGATATGATCTGTGTACTACTTCTGGCAACCTCAGACCTATCATCCCCCTGTAACATGTTATGTCATACAACAGTTTTTGTTCACTGTTGTTGCTGATTCAACAGACAAATGTCTCTTTCACCTACACAGATTTCAAAGTCAAGCTTTCTTTTGATGGACTGGATGAGGCAGCTTCCGGGAACTATCTACCCAGGAATAATTCATTAGATGAGATCTGCAAGGTGACGGAACAGGAGAGAAACCTCTTGATTGGTTCAGCCTCAGAGCCAACAAGCCCCATCAGGAAACATCTCTCTGATGGTAAGTATTTGTTTTGTGCACTTTCCTTATATTCTTTGTATGCTGTGATATTTGTGCTTTCCATCGACACATCTAACTAACTTCATTGGACATTTGTTGTGCAAGTAAGCCTTCCTGATTAGTACTGTAGGGTGTTGCACAACCTGACTGTAGTCTTGTCTCTGCCATCTAGCTAACCTGGTTTAGGCCAATATTGGCCAGTATTCTTCGTGGACGTTCCACAGGATTCTTGTCTGATTCCATAAAACCAGCACAGAGCATTCTGGTGACTAAGGTGAGGTACCAGAGTATCCCGTAACACAGATCTGTGGTCTTAACTTTACCTTTTGCCTGTTCGGTGAAACCACTGCACTTCATATGGCTTTATATGATCACATGCTGTCGTAAACCTAATGGTTCAGGTGTATGTTTCAGCAGATAATCACAAGAAAATAACAATACTGGAGTACTAAATTCTCTATATGGGAGTCTGTGCTGTTACTTATATATTATTTTGCACATGTTGTGGGTGCAGATGAATAATTAAGGGTTGGTTTGCTGAAGTATGATGTGATGGCACCAAAAGGTACAAATATGGCAGCCTAGCTTTAAAGTATGATGTGATGGTACCAAAAGGTACAAATATTGCAGCCTAGCTCTAAAGTATGATGTGATGGTACCAAAAGGTACAAATATTGCAGCCTAGCTCTAAAGTATGATGTGATGGTACCAAAAGGTACAAATATGGCAGCCTAGCTCTAAAACACAACATGCCAGCTACCCTTTTAAGAGTGATGGCCAAGTTGGCTAGCTATTCTCACCTGTTCCTTATCTGCTTCCTCTTATGCATAGTCTGCCCATACAGAATATGGAAGAAATAAATGTGAGGTGAAGATTGTAATCATACCAGCTGGCTTGCCTCAAAGATGGTGTTTCCTCTCTGTTTACTTCACAGATGTGAACCCAGCTCCAGGAACCAAGGTCACCAGGTTTGCAATACCCTTGTCCATGTCCAAACATCTGAGTTTTGATGACCACATGGTGAAGTGTGGCACCAGCACAGCACCCAGGCTGATCCACCGCCCCCATGCTCGTTCTCTACAGCCTCAGGTTAAAAATGTAGTTTTGCATACACCGACTCCTGGCACCAAACCTGCAGAGACCATCATTCTGTCACACTCAGGGGAGATCAAATCTGTCAACAGTGTGGGCACTGCCCAGCATATACCATTGTCCAAGTCACAGTTTGAGACAATTTTACACTCCCTGAACTTTGCCAAGTCCAGTGCTCAACGGCAAATACATTTTAACAAACCTTCCGACGGACCAGCCCCATTTACGATTTTAGGCAGGAGTCTCTTACAGTCACCTGACTATGATGTCAGCGCTTTGAAGGCATCAAGTCCTGGGTCTGTATTGCAGAACCGGTCACTCAAGAGAAACCTGGTTGAGATTGCTGTACCAAGTGAGAAACGCATCAAGCTGGACTTGCCAAACAGTTCTGCTAGTACAGAGTTGATAGATTCTGCAGTGGCCTGGAATGAAGGCTCACCATCAGCACCTGAAATCAAAATTGGTCTGAGACGTCTAAACAGTATGCCAGTTGTCACATCGACGTCCCAGGCTGGTTCTCTCCGCATCCTGCCACAGATCATTGTTCGCTGTGTTAACAAATCGGCTGCAGCAACACCCCCTACAGACCACTTCAGGCTACATGTGAAAAATGATCAGGGAGCAACATCTTGGAATGATAAAACTTTGCTTGCCACCAGAAAGCATGTTGTGGAAAACATCACACCAACTCCTGGCTCCTTTTTGTCTCAGCTGAGGACACCAACAAGCAATGGATTTCCAGTTAAGATAATTGCTAATCCAATGACACCTGATCCTTCACCAACCAGTCAGACAAGTTTGCTTTCCATTGCTGAGTCCTTTACACCGCCAACAACACCCAAGAACCATTTATTGTTCAGTACACCACTAACAGGGTCACGTGATAGTATGCAGACAGATATGCACATCATTCATCAACCAGGCAGTCTGAGAAAAGTCCTCACAGCCACCTCGACAACACTACCACCTTCCCATAACCTGTCCTCGCCATTTCAAGTTGTTGTCCCATCATCATCATCCAAGCAGTCTTCAACCACTTTTCTGCTGAAAATGCCCCCAGGAAAACTCACAAAAACAGCCACAATGTAAGAATCTGTCATGATCATTGTATACCTGAGTGGACTCGTTGCCTGGCAACATTAACATAAGTGCTTGTTTACACCCATAGAATTACTGGTTCACTTTTCTCTTTTTTCTGCTGCAGCGGGCTGTTTTAAAACATTTCTCACTTGATTATTGTGTGTCAAATCTATAGCTGACTTTTCTTCAGCCTGATAACAATTGGAAGGGTATTCTCCCACAGAAATGTAACATTTCTTATCAGCACACGTACATTTTAACCCACATTTTAATTTATTTTAGAAAAGGAATCTTTCCTTTCCGTTTGTGCTTTTTTAACCAAATTTTAATTTAATGTGATTATAATTATAAATCCGGTTGCCTAATATTTGTCATAGCTCCATCTGACTAGATGGGACACTCTGTGAAGTTCTGCTGTAGTCTTTCTTCTTTTGAGATAACCACTAGTGTCTGCGTGGTCTGAACATTTCTGTATGCTTTTTTCTGTCATTATTTATTCACTGTAAACATTTCTTGACATTTATAATATTTATACCTAAACTCATTTGTAATCTATATTACTGTGGATAATGGTGCAATTAAACATAAACCTCCCCACAAATATTCGCTACACTGCGCACACCAAGATGTTGCTTATACTAGGATCTTCCTACCAGAAAAACTCACTCTTGGAGGCACACTGGCCCAACACTGGTAGCCTCTGCCTTGTTGGCCATATACTTGACAATTGCTTTCACACTTGTGACTGGTACACACACACACACACAGGTTCCATGTTTAGTCTCTCTCAGAACTGTACTTGATTGCTTTCACACTTGTGACTGGTACACACACACAGGTTCCATGTTTAGTCTCTCTCAGAACTGTACTTGATTGCTTTCACACTTGTGACTGGTACACACACACAGGTTCCATGTTTAGTCTCTCTCAGAACTGTACTTGATTGCTTTCACACTTGTGACTGGTACACACACACAGGTTCCATGTTTAGTCTCTCTCAGAACTGTACTTGATTGCTTTCACACTTGTGACTGGTACACACACACAGGTTCCATGTTTAGTCTCTCTCAGAACTGTACTTGATTGCTTTCACACTTGTGACTGGTACACACACACAGGTTCCATGTTTAGTCTCTCTCAGAACTGTACTTGATTGCTTTCACACTTGTGACTGGTACACACACACAGGTTCCATGTTTAGTCTCTCTCAGAACTGTACTTGATTGCTTTCACACTTGTGACTGGTACACACACACAGGTTCCATGTTTAGTCTCTCTCAGAACTGTACTTGATTGCTTTCACACTTGTGATGGTACACACACACAGGTTCCATGTTTAGTCTCTCTCAGAACTGTACTTGATTGCTTTCACACTTGTGACTGGTACACACACACAGGTTCCATGTTTAGTCTCTCTCAGAACTGTACTTGATTGCTTTCACACTTGTGACTGGTACACACACACAGGTTCCATGTTTAGTCTCTCTCAGAACTGTACTTGATTGCTTTCACACTTGTGACTGGTACACACACACAGGTTCCATGTTTAGTCTCTCTCAGAACTGTACTTGATTGCTTTCACACTTGTGACTGGTACACACACACAGGTTCCATGTTTAGTCTCTCTCAGAACTGTACTTGATTGCTTTCACACTTGTGACTGGTACACACACACAGGTTCCATGTTTAGTCTCTCTCAGAACTGTACTTGATTGCTTTCACACTTGTGACTGGTACACACACACAGGTTCCATGTTTAGTCTCTCTCAGAACTGTACTTGATTGCTTTCACACTTGTGACTGGTACACACACACACAGGTTCCATGTTTAGTCTCTCTCAGAACTGTACTTGATTGCTTTCACACTTGTGACTGGTACACACACACAGGTTCCATGTTTAGTCTCTCTCAGAACTGTACTTGATTGCTTTCACACTTGTGACTGGTACACACACACAGGTTCCATGTTTAGTCTCTCTCAGAACTGTACTTGATTGCTTTCACACTTGTGACTGGTACACACACACAGGTTCCATGTTTAGTCTCTCTCAGAACTGTACTTGATTGCTTTCACACTTGTGACTGGTACACACACACAGGTTCCATGTTTAGTCTCTCTCAGAACTGTACTTGATTGCTTTCACACTTGTGACTGGTACACACACACAGGTTCCATGTTTAGTCTCTCTCAGAACTGTACTTGATTGCTTTCACACTTGTGACTGGTACACACACACACAGGTTCCATGTTTAGTCTCTCTCAGAACTGTCTTGATTGCTTTCACACTTGTGACTGGTACAGGTTTGTTTATTGCTCAGAACTGTACTTGATTGCTTTCACACTTGTGACTGGTACACACACACAGGTTCCATGTTTAGTCTCTCTCAGAACTGTACTTGATTGCTTTCACACTTGTGACTGGTACACACACACAGGTTCCATGTTTAGTCTCTCTCAGAACTGTACTTGATTGCTTTCACACTTGTGACTGGTACACACACACAGGTTCCATGTTTAGTCTCTCTCAGAACTGTACTTGATTGCTTTCACACTTGTGACTGGTACACACACACAGGTTCCATGTTTAGTCTCTCTCAGAACTGTACTTGATTGCTTTCACACTTGTGACTGGTACACACACACAGGTTCCATGTTTAGTCTCTCTCAGAACTGTACTTGATTGCTTTCACACTTGTGACTGGTACACACACACAGGTTCCATGTTTAGTCTCTCTCAGAACTGTACTTGATTGCTTTCACACTTGTGACTGGTACACACACACAGGTTCCATGTTTAGTCTCTCTCAGAACTGTACTTGATTGCTTTCACACTTGTGACTGGTACACACACACAGGTTCCATGTTTAGTCTCTCTCAGAACTGTACTTGATTGCTTTCACACTTGTGACTGGTACACACACACAGGTTCCATGTTTAGTCTCTCTCAGAACTGTACTTGATTGCTTTCACACTTGTGACTGGTACACACACACAGGTTCCATGTTTAGTCTCTCTCAGAACTGTACTTGATTGCTTTCACACTTGTGACTGGTACACACACACAGGTTCCATGTTTAGTCTCTCTCAGAACTGTACTTGATTGCTTTCACACTTGTGACTGGTACACACACACAGGTTCCATGTTTAGTCTCTCTCAGAACTGTACTTGATTGCTTTCACACTTGTGACTGGTACACACACACAGGTTCCATGTTTAGTCTCTCTCAGAACTGTACTTGATTGCTTTCACACTTGTGACTGGTACACACACACAGGTTCCATGTTTAGTCTCTCTCAGAACTGTACTTGATTGCTTTCACACTTGTGACTGGTACACACACACAGGTTCCATGTTTAGTCTCTCTCAGAACTGTACTTGATTGCTTTCACACTTGTGACTGGTACACACACACAGGTTCCATGTTTAGTCTCTCTCAGAACTGTACTTGATTGCTTTCACACTTGTGACTGGTACACACACACACACACAGGTTCCATGTTTAGTCTCTCTCAGAACTGTACTTGATTGCTTTCACACTTGTGACTGGTACACACACACACACACAGTTCCATGTTTAGTCTCTCTCAGAACTGTACTTGATTGCTTTCACACTTGTGACTGGTACACACACACACACACAGGTTCCATGTTTAGTCTCTCTCAGAACTGTACTTGATTGCTTTCACACTTGTGACTGGTACACACACACACAGGTTCCATGTTTAGTCTCTCTCAGAACTGTACTTGATTGCTTTCACACTTGTGACTGGTACACACACACACACACAGGTTCCATGTTTAGTCTCTCTCAGAACTGTACTTGATTGCTTTCACACTTGTGACTGGTACACACACACACACACAGGTTCCATGTTTAGTCTCTCTCAGAACTGTACTTGATTGCTTTCACACTTGTGACTGGTACACACACACACACACAGGTTCCATGTTTAGTCTCTCTCAGAACTGTACTTGATTGCTTTCACACTTGTGACTGGTACACACACACACACACACAGGTTCCATGTTTAGTCTCTCTCAGAACTGTACTTGATTGCTTTTCACACTTGTGACTGGTACACACACACACACACAGGTTCCATGTTTAGTCTCTCTCAGAACTGTACTTGATTGCTTTCACACTTGTGACTGGTACACACACACACACACAGGTTCCATGTTTAGTCTCTCTCAGAACTGTACTTGATTGCTTTCACACTTGTGACTGGTACACACACACACACACAGGTTCCATGTTTAGTCTCTCTCAGAACTGTACTTGATTGCTTTCACACTTGTGACTGGTACACACACACACACACAGGTTCCATGTTTAGTCTCTCTCAGAACTGTACTTGATTGCTTTCACACTTGTGACTGGTACACACACACACACACAGGTTCCATGTTTAGTCTCTCTCAGAACTGTACTTGATTGCTTTCACACTTGTGACTGGTACACACACACACACACACAGGTTCCATGTTTAGTCTCTCTCAGAACTGTACTTGATTGCTTTCACACTGTGTGATTGCTTTCACACTTGGTGACTGTACACACACAGGTTCCATGTTTAGTCTCTCTCAGAACTGTACTTGATTGCTTTCACACTTGTGACTGGTACACACACAGGTTCCATGTTTAGTCTCTCTCAGAACTGTACTTGATTGCTTTCACACTTGTGACTGGTACACACACAGGTTCCATGTTTAGTCTCTCTCAGAACTGTACTTGATTGCTTTCACACTTGTGACTGGTACACACACACAGGTTCCATGTTTAGTCTCTCTCAGAACTGTACTTGATTGCTTTCACACTTGTGACTGGTACACACACACAGGTTCCATGTTTAGTCTCTTCAGAACTGTACTTGACTTTCACACTTGTGACTGGTACACACACACAGGTTCCATGTTTAGTCTCTCTCAGAACTGTACTTGATTGCTTTCACACTTGTGACTGGTACACACACACAGGTTCCATGTTTAGTCTCTCTCAGAACTGTA